TCCCAAGTGCTGGGGACACCACTGTGGGCTCTCCCCATGAAACTTAAATTCCAGCCAGGAGAAGACAGAGATCATATGTAGTAGCCTCTAAGGATTCGTGAGGTTATGCGCGCCATGCATCCTGATAGCTGACTTATTTTGATTAGCAATGTTAGTCCTCACAAGAACTGTAGGAGGCAAGTTCTGTTTTATTCCTACTTAGAGATAAAGAAACTGAGGCGAATAAATAAGTGACTTAGATAAAACACAGAGATCTTAAATGGTAGAGCCAAATGTGAACCCTAAGCTCAGGTGCCTGGGTGGCTCTGTTGTTAAGCACACATCCGACTTTGGCCGGAGTCATGATCTTGGGGTTTGTGGAGTTTCAAGCCCCATGTGAGGGCTCTGTGCTCAGAGCCTGGAGCCTGCTTCAGATTCTGTCTCCCTCTCTCTCTGCCTCTCCCTGTATTGCTCTGTGTCTCTCTCCCTCTCAAAAGGTAAAGGAAAGAATTGTTTTTTTAAAATTTCAAGAAATGTGAAGACAGGTCAATGATCTCAAATAAACAACCTAACTGTAAACCTCAAGGAAATAGGAAAAAAAACAAAGTTAGCAGAATGAAGGAAATAACAAGATCAGATCAGAAATCAATGGAATAGAGACAGAAAAACAATAGAAAGGATCAATGAAACTGGGGAGCTTGTTTTCAAGGTAAAACAAAATGGACAAACTAGCTAGACAGAAAAAAAAAAAGTCGGAGCCTCAAATAAGGAGGTCAGAAATAAAGACATTGCAACTATTGCAGAAATACCAGAATCACATGAGACCTGCAATTATATGCCAACATTAGATTACCTGGAAGAAATGGATAGTTTGTAGAAATATATCTACCAAGATTGAATCATGAACAAATGATCTGAATAGACCAATTGGTCAATTACTTTTCTGTGTCTATTGTACTGATCAAATGATTTTATTTCTTATTCCTATTAATGTGGTGTCACATTGATTTGCATTTAATAGACTCCATCCTCACTTGCATCCAGAGGTAAGCCCACTTGATAAGTGGTATATGCTGGTGCTGTTGAATTTCATGTGCTAATATTTTGTTGAGGATTTTTGCATCTATATTCCTGGGGATATTGAATCTGTAGTTTCCTTGTAGTGTTCTATTTTTTTTTTTTTTTTTTTTAGAGAGAGAGAGAGAGAGAGAGGAAACAAAGTGAGCAATGGAGAGGGAGAAATCCCTGGAGGGCAGAGAGAGAGGGGGAGGGAAGGGAGAGAAAGAGAGAGACAGAGAGAGGAGGTGGGAGGAAGGAAACAGGGCTCACCAAAAATGGAACTTCGTGTTCACCATGGGCACTATGCTCACTGGAAGTAGAGCTTGTGCTACCTGAAGCAGAACCCGCCGAGCTCACGCAGATGGGGAGGGCCAGGCTCATGAGTGAGATCATGATCCTGAGCTGATCAGGATATAGCTCAACTAGACCAGGCACCCTCTTTGTAGTGTTCTTTACCGACTTTGGCGTCAGGGTATTGATGGCTTTGTAATATGAGTTTGGGGAATATTCCCTTCTATTTTGGGAAGAGCTTGAGAATTGGTGTGAAGTGCTTTAAATGTTTGAGGTAGAATTCACCCATGAAACCATCAGGTCCTGAGCTTTTCTTTGTCAGGAGGGTTTTTGAGTTACTAATCCAATCTCCTATTTTGCAATATATACACATGTCAAATTAATACAAATTATACCTTTATAATAGGTATACATTGTATACCTTAAACTTATATAATGTTACAATATCTTATCTCAATGAAACCAGGAAAGACTTTTGAATTATTTTTTAGACTTTTTCTAGCATATAAGATATATATATTATATTATATATTATATTATATTATATTATATTATATTATATTATATATAAAAGATATATACACACACATACATACACACACACACACACAAAATCCAGCCTCTTTCTATTTTATACAATTTTGTAAGCTATATAATCTTTAAAGATTATTTGAAAACACTATTGTTCTGGCTTCCCTCTCCTGAATGTGTTGCCATTTTTACTTAGCCAATCCTTTTTGGAGAAATAGTTGTTGGATTTCACTTATTATGCCAGTGATATGATAAATACCCTTGCAGAGGGAACTCTGATTATGTCTGTAAGGTATCTCCCAGAGCTAGAATTACTGGGGTAGAGCATGAATGTTTTAAGGCTTCACGTGTTTCCAGGTGGCTTTTACAGACAACTCATTACCAGCTGGTCATGAGTGTGTTCTTCTTCATACCCTCAACCACTACTGTGGGTTGTCGATTTTATTTTTAAACCTTATCTGTTTGACAGTAAAAAAAACACAACAAAACAAAAACTTAAAAAAATTTTTTTGATGTTTATTTAATTTTGAGAGAGACAGAGACAGAATGCCAGTGGGTTGGGGCAGAGAGAGAGGGAGGCACAGAATCTGAACCAGGCTCCAGGCTCTGAGCTGTCAGCACAGAGCCTGACGTGGGGCTCGAACTCATAAGCTGTGAGATCATGACCTGAGCTGAAGTTGGATGCTCAACCAACTGAGCCACCCAGGCACCCCTAAAACAAAAACTTTTACATTTGCATTGATCTAGTTTCTGATAACATTGTGCATCTCCCCCCACCAATTTCATTTTTCCAATATTTAATTCATCTCTTATATAATGTTTTGCTGAATATGTTGCTGATCAAAACAAGTATTCTAGAACAGGAACCCTCTTGCACTGTTGGTGGGACCTTTCCATAATTTATTGTGGTGTTTCTTATAAACATTGGGGTACAGTGTCCTAGGCATCAGCACTCCTGTATCCCTTGGGTAAAATCTCCTAGCAGTGCTATTGCTGGGTCATAGGGTAGATCTATTTTAATTTTTGAGGAAACCCTCCACACTGTTTTCCAGGAGCAGCTGCACCAGTTTGT